GTACTTTATATGTTTTAATATTTTCATTTCCTTGAGAACTATACATTCAAGTTTCTTGAGCTTTTTTTAATCGGTGTTTAGCACTTCACTTGAAAATATGACTAGTTTTATTACTGTTGTTAAATTAAATTTTGAAACGGAAATGAGAAATTAGTGATTTATCATTGTTTCATAATAAGCTCTTCAATTAATCCCTTTTGCAAATTTCAAATTTCTTTTTTTTTTTTTTTTTTTTTTCGTTTCTTACCTGATTGAGTTTATTCTACAATGAAATTTAGATTTTTAGATTGCATATTTCTTGTGTTCTAAAAATAGTTTTGATCTCATCGTAAAATATCCTTACAAAATTATATAAATTTTCACTCGATATCCTCATAAATTTATCGTTCAATGTCAACAACTTTGAATATAACGAAGCAATATATTTCATAAATTTTTCGAAATTCTTTTTAGCTTAAATTAGTTATTAGATTTAGTTAATTATCAAATACCTATAGTTAAACCGCGTTAAAGAAATTGTTTATTCAGAATAACGTTGACAATTCTCTATGTTCTCAAAATAATTTGTTCTATAATTAAAAGAACAATATAAATTGATAATACCTTTTAAATCATTAATATGCATGCTCTAAAAGCTACGATTTAGATTAAATCAGTTAAATTTAACTGCTCTGGAAAAAAAACACCAAAAACATTTATATAAAATGCTCTGAAATAAATATTGTCCTTTTCTTTGTATACCGTATAAAAAAAAATTGCTGTATTCAGAGATAAAAATTTAATCTTCTCTTTCATTTTTCTTGCGAGAAGTTTAGTTTAAACGCTTCTAAATCCAATAGATGGTGACACTAAAACATCTCTAGATGCCTTTAAAAGTATAATTTTAATTTGTTTATTATATCGTCCTCTTCACTTTAGTTTTTAATTTTTTTTTCGAGGTTCACAAACTTAATCTCCTTGAATAGCGTTGTAGTTTAAGTTTAGTTTTAAACTAGAAGTTTTTGGACATAATATTGAATTTGCAGCTCGTAATTGTAGGAAAAGTATTTAGGTTACTTAAAAATGATTTTAAATGTCGTGGTACTATGTAGATGGCAGCACCACTGAAAGATTTGAATGCTCATTTTAAATTCTGAAGGAAGTTACGAATAACTAATATGTTGTAATTTAATAGAATGCTGTAATAAAAAAAAATCACTGACAGCATAATTTCTACTTGCTAATTTACCTCTCCTTTCAGTTTCCTTATAATTGTTCATTTCAATCAAGATTAAGAGTAAGGAAAATGAATCTTGTTATAAAAATTACCTAATCATCAATAAGCACCTACAGTTGTTCTTATCATAAAAAAATAAATAGATAAAATTTCAGAGTCCTTTGATTAATTTTTGAACACATTTTATATAAATACACCCACAAACATGCTAAAAAATGTTGCTAAGTATGTAAAAAAATGTTCTAAGAAATCAAGTGAATAGTCATTTAAACAATGGACAATTACAGTCGATTTTTTTTAAAAGTCTTAAAGCATTTTATTACTTTCCTAATTGTGCTATTTATTAAGTTATTTTTAAGCAGAAAACGCTTACAAACGGGGAGTCACGTGATTATTCATGAACTGACGTCACACTTGTCCATCTGCTGTTCACTTTCGTTTGAGTTTTCGTAATAAAATCCAACTATTTTAGATGATAAATAACTGAGAACAAAGACATGTTTAATAAATTGTGCCCTAATGTAGCTTAATGAAAATGTGGGTTTACTATTACGTACTTTTTTAACATTGTTAAATTTCAATCCTACCCACTGAAACATAGCATAGTTCTAAATATTTAAGATTTTTCAGTTCAGTAATAAAATTATTTTGTTTTTTCATTTTTTTAACCATATTAATATTTATTTTAAAGTCTATTTCATATTCATTTCGAGGATTTATTTTCTTCTTATGTGAAAGAAATGTTGAATTATTTAAATTTTTCTTTTATATAGAATAGTTTTAGATTTTAAAAACATAGGTAAGCTTATGTTATTGTTTTTTTTGTTTTTTTCCTAGCGTGAATTCAATGCAGGGAATTATCTTCAGCATAGCAGTTGCCTTTTAAGAAACTTGTGATCCCATCAAAACTTTTAATTCATTCTTTTTAAAAAAATTGAGTTAAAAGAGAAAAAATTATATTTTAGTAGATGTTATTAACTTTATATTAATTGCGTTAATCTATGTTACAAGAGTATTGAAATCAAGCATATGCATATAATTTAGTTCTACATTATAGAAACAAAGATTAAATTTTATAAATGGATATAAAAATAATTTTTCTCCATAGCAAAGGGCCTATTTACTCAAAGAATAAGGAAATTGAAAAAAGATATCGACATTAACGCCTATTTTTTAAATTATTTAATAAAAATAAAGAATGTGCATTAGAATTTCTTTTCATTTTGCATAAGTTTTTTTTTCCATGATTATTCTTTAGCTTTATTGAGACAAAAACGTCTAGCTTAATGATATTTGGTGAAATTATGTGGATAAATTAAATAACATTAAGTGAAATTTTAAGTATAAGTGTATAGGTTATGGCGGTAATGATGGACAGATATATTTCAATGGACTAGATTCTTTAAAGTGTTAACTCGTTTTCGGCTATATCGAATGCTTAACCTGAAATTTTTTTTAACTATTTTAATTGATGTTTTTAATTAAAAATGTATAATATATTAATTTTACTATTTTATAATTCTTCATTGCAAGCGCTTTCTAATAGTTTTCAAAAATAAGGAGAGAAATTAACAATAACCATGCTTTGTAAACACTATATCGAAGAAACAGGATTTAAAATTTATAAATTTAAAAATAAAAATTATTTCTAACAGAAGCGAAATCCCTATTTACTCAAAGAATAATAGATATAAGCGTTAATGTGTATTTAAATATTTAATACATAGTAAAAAAAAGAAGACATAAACTGCATTAGTTTGTCATTTACTTCAAAGAAGTAAATCCAACTCTAGCAACAACAACAAAATTAATTAAATTACATTGCTTGAATTTTTGAACAATAGCGCAAAGATTGTAACGATGATGGATTGATATTTTTCGGTAGACTATATTTATGGGGATACTGATTCGTTTTAATGCAATACCATAAAATCATTCACCTTATATCTTAATGTATACTATTTCTATCCAATCTTCTACTGATTTTACTAAAGTAATTCGGCTGTAATGGAGCATTATTTTAACTTAAAGTGGAATAAAATAATATTTTCTAAGAATGTAACACAACTGATTTTCAGACGAAAGAAAATGTTAATTCGGTGTGAAGAGCTGCAGAATCATTTTTTCAGATATTTTAGTGATAAATATACATTTTGAAGTTTTAAAAATGTTTCTTTCATTTTGCACAAAAGCTCAAAACCTTAGATTTGATTCACAAAATTTACGCTAATAATTTACAAAGGTTGTTCATACGATATAAGGGATGTCAATACTAAAAAAACATTTAAAAAACCTTAGCGGATCGAGGCGGCACGTTTCTATTCAGCACATGTGACGTCATTACCAATCAGGGATCGTTTTTGATTGCATCACTTACGGAGGCCTTTTTGGGAAATTTAAATGCTTAATAATTAAATAAATAAACATTTAACGAAAAAACAATCAGATTTTCAGTTACAGGAAAGAATTTCCAATAAATTATGATTGAAAATAAAAAAATAAAAATTAAGAGATGCTGCAATTGTCCATTAGGCTTTAATACCGAAGCTTTATTGTGAAGTGAGCATACATTTCACCTTATCTTGCTTTAATTAAGAAGAAATTTGAAACAGTTAACAGTAATTTCGGTTTTCTTTGCAAATGATTGAAAATCTAAAGTACGACCAGCTGTTTAAAAATCTAAAGCTAATTTTCTTATAGCCCAAAATATGTATATCCTATCCAAGATCACAAAAGGCTTGAGAACAGACCCGTATTGTTTAGTTATTAAATCGTTCTCTTTAAAAAATTTTGTTTTAAAATTAATACAATATTTGTTTGTTTGTTTTTTAAACCAAAATTCACAATTGAACTATGTACTAAATTTTTTCCAGATCCATACTCTTTAATGAAACTTTTACGCAATTTTTTTATTAGATCGAAAGCATAAATATAATCCCAGATATCCACGATATTTTGAACAACAATTTATGTAAGAATAGATATAGATAGACTTGTTAGATGTAAATAGACTTGTTAGATGTAAATAGACTTGTTAGATGTAAATAGTCTTGTTAGATGTAAATAGACTTGTTAGATGTAAATAGATGTTGGATGTAAATAGACTTGTTAGATGTAAATAGACTTGTTAGATGCAGATAGTTTATTATATTGTAATAGTAGGCAGTAATATTTCAGGCAGTTTGCAATTAGCGCTGAGTATTGAAGGCTTATTAAAATAGCCTTTTTAAAGGCTTATTGCTAAACGCTTATTAAAGGTTTATTGCTATAAGCCTAAGCAAGTCCAGTCTGAGAAATTCGTCGCACATTTTCTTATTCACAAAAATGTCTAGAGGCTGAATGTAACAGACTAAAGAAATCAGGCAGATTAAGAAAATACTGAAGACATTTCCAATTAGCCTGACTCATTGCAAAATGATGACGGCATTCGCAAAGAGTCAGAAGTTTAAATGTAGCATTCGATCTACTTGTTAATTTCTTTTCCAAAAACATTTTAAGGCCACAAATAGAAATTAAACTTCCTTGAAAGCCTAAATAAAATTTTCAAAATTTTTTTCAATGATGGTATACATGCTTAATCCATAACTTGCACTTAACAATGAAGTACTTTAATTTTAAATAAAGCCGATCATATATACTACATATAAATGTTCGACTTTATTTATCTTTCATCATTAGTAATACCTTTATAAAGTTACAAGAAAATTTTAAATTATCATTCCAAAGGTAATAGACATGGTTGTGTCTCATTCATTCCATGTAATGACTATTCAATAACAGTTTAAAATTTCACTTTACTCTGCAATATTTTGAATCGCAATGAAGTCTAGACTGAGAATTGAAATTATTCGCTTTTGTAAGTGGTGAAGAGTGTGTTAGTCCAATGGTCTTCATACATTAACAATTTTATTCAAGAATTGGAATGAGGGTAACTTTAGCAACTTTTTTGTTGATTAGTCTGGAATTTTTGTGCCACAGAGGAAAAGCACAATCAAGTAAGTTATAAAATTATCTGTTTTAAAGGAATTTATTCTCTTAAACCATAGTTCTTTGCTGAAATGATCATTTGTACATAATTATTCTACATTTCAAGTTAATAAAAAGTTGTCCCTGTTGTCACGTATTTACCAAAATGAAGAGCCTAATAATTTACCTTCTTAAGAGCCTAATAATTTATTTTCTTGTGTAAAAAACGTTAAAAATAATTATTTTTCAAAATAGAAATGTTAGTTTTCATGTTAAAAAATTTAAAATTTAGTATGTAAATAAACAGCAAATAATACTGATAATAATAATAATAATTACGCATGCATGCCTGCCAACTTTTACTCTTTCCAAAAGTGATTTACAAAGTGCCAAACTATTTTTGTAAGAAATATTACATTGAATTTCTAAATTCAAGACATCAAAAGAAAAAGCCTATGTTTTGCTACCACTTTAAATATTAAAATAAAATGTTACGAAAAATTCGTGAATATTGGCAGCTATGTATATGAAATGTAACATTTAGATCCCCTGGAATCTACATGATAAGTTTAATTTTCATTAAAAATGAGCATATTTTCACTTTTCAATCATTTACAGGTCAGATTATAATGTAGATTCTGACTTCGATTAAAGTTTTCGTGTAGAATACAAGGAACCTATTTGTTAAATTTCTTATATAATTTTTATTACTCTTAATTTACTTTTCAAATTTTGAATTTTTAAATTTTAATGTTAAAACTTGCTTTACGTTTTTGTTTTGAAAGAATATTAAATTAGCGTTTTTGACATTCAGAAAAAAAATCAAGCTCATTTCGGAGGACCTAATTAGTTTTCAGTCTGATAGAAAAAAGTGATAAATGTGTAACCACAATAACAAGTTTTTATCGCCTTAGAATTCAAAATTTTTTTTCAAAAAAAAAAAAAAAAAAAATTCACTCTTCTATGTAATTGACCCCGTTGTTATGTGTTAGCTACTTAAATTTAGGAATGCAAAGCTGGAAAGATATAATTCTTAATGGTATTTTTGCATAAACGCGAGAAATTAATTTAGAAATTAGTTTAGAAATTGATTTAGAAATTAATTTAGACTTGTTTTGAACTTTCATTTCAGAAAATTTGCATAAAAATGGGTACTGACGGAATAAGGAAATTAGACGTAACTAATTTTTACATATTTAATTGAAACAAAACTGTTTTGAAATATATATTAAAATGATAAATTATAACCTCTTTTAAAAAAATTAAAGAGGTATTCAATAACGTCGATTCAACACTTTTTTATATCAACTAAAAATCACTTCGAACTGCATTTCAGTCTAAGAACAAATTTTTTAAAACAATTTATCATTATTTCTTGTTAATTAAATATTTGATAAACATTAGTTTTTAACAACTGAAAAAGTTTTATAAATATATTTTTCTATGAACCCTTTATTCATTTTGTTCAGTAAGCAAATGAAGAAACCATTACATTTATAGCTCAAAAAGTTTTTTTCAAATGGGTACTAAAACAATAAAGAGATTAAGCATGCTAAATGCTTGCATTTTTTTTTCAAGCAAGTTTAAAATTCAATTAAAAATGATAAAGTGCATCATGATTTAAATTTTTTTATATGGAATCGAATAACATCTTAACTTTTTTTACAATTAATTTAACAACCATAAGGAATGGAAATTTTAAGAAAATGATAAGTAAACTCAAATTGTATTACTGTGCTTTCTAGCTTTCAAGTTAAATACAAAAGATAAATTTATTTTTATCAAGTCTCATTGTTTCAAACATAAATTTTTTCGTACCTCACCGGGCATTTAAAGCATTAGCTCAGCTATTTTTTTAATCTATTTCACACATTCTCTTATTTTAATTTTTCCCCGAATGATATTTTCATTTAAATTCAGCATTTAAAAGACCATAACTAACCTACAACAATTACTGCCGTTAAAATCTCTAAACAGTTTAACGTCATAAATGTTAAACTTAACTCATAATGTTAAAAATGTTGCTCCATTAATTCAGCTTGATATCACTACGTAATTAGTTTTAAAGTCGTCAATTAACAAATCTCAAAGCTGTTACCTTTTATTATTTTTAAAGCCATGAAATGTTAGACGAAGCTTTTGAAAGGGTAAACGAAAATTTTTTTAAATTAGAGCTTGAAAGCGGCAAAAAAATAAATAAATAAATACGGTACACTTTGGCCTTTTCAATATTATTACATATTTAAAATTAAAACACCTTTTACAGTATCTCAATATTTATAGTAAAATATTAGTAACACTTGCTAATTAAATTCCTTTAAATAAAGTAAATTGAAAAAACTATAGTAAATAAAATGTAATAGTAGAGAAAATATTCATATAAAATTTGCAATGTAAAGTGCTAGAAAAATATTAGGGTCAAGCAAAAAATTTTATAGTTTTTAAGTTTTGCGCAAGTTTATCACAAATCAGAAAAATAACATTATTAATTATATCTAGAGATGCAATTCAAGAAGTTATTAGACTTTTTCAACTTCTTTCATACATACAGAAAGCTGTATAAAAAAGAATAGGACCACGCAACATTTACTTATGTTGTTGTTGTCTTATGCCACTTGTCAATAATTTCAAGCCCATATTAGGGCAGAGGGCTGATCTTCCTTTCAAGTGGCGTAATCTATGGCAAAGAATTCAATTTCTACCACACATGCGTCACATCCCGTTTTACAGGGAGGACACATTCACACACCATCAATCCACAGATCGTAATTTTGACCTGAACCAGTGCAAGATTAATCTCCTTTCCTGTACCCTCAAAGATATTGGATTTGATATGGGAACTTGGAGGACTTTGTGATCCTGACAGATTTAGCATGTACCAGTAACCATTATGTACAGGGGGAGTCTTCAGCCAGCAGGGGTCGAAATCACGACCTTTTGGACATGGGACAACGCCTTATCATCCAGACTATCTCAGCCTCTATTTTCTTATTGAATAAGTATAAATAATCCAAAAACTTACACTTTGTTTTAATTAAACAGAGAGAGAGAGAGAGTACCCTTGCCGTCAGGCTAACCGTAAGAGGTTCTCGTGGTCTTCCTCTCCATGAAACGCAAATGCGGGAAACAATTTCTCCCAATGCTCAGTCCAGGAGTTCCCCTGTCTCCTGGATTGGGTACAAAATTACAAGGCTACGGTCTTGAACATTAGTAGTCGTAATTCCATAAAATTGGGTCGGCTGTTCAACGACGGTCATAATATATATATATATATATATACACGTCCCGCAGTTGACTGATCGTTAAGACACGGTTCCCGGCAGATCACCGAAGTCAAGCATCACTGGTTACGGTCAGTGTGCGGGTGGGTGACCACTTGGATCAGTCTACGTAGGGACCGAGGGTGTGCGGTATTGATCCTCGTTAAACTGTGCTACCGTAAAGTGCTCGACTTCGCGCGCAGGTCGTTAGGCTACCGAAGCGGGGGTGCCATCCCCTCCGCAGAGGATCAAAATTGTGATAGCATGTCTTCGGATCATCCTCCGGGATGTTTCCCAGACCGTCGCCAATAGCCCATTGTGCAGCTCTAGTGCGACGTAAATTAACAA